TTAGCAGTTTGAGGAACCTCCAAACAGTTTTCCATAGTGGTTGTACTAGTTTGCATTCCCACCAGCAATGCAGGAGACTTCCTTTTTCTCCACATCCTCGCCAACATTTATTGTTGCTAGCTGTTTTAAGAGGTGCCATTCTCACTGGGGGGAGGTGGTATCTCATTGTGGTTTTAATTTGCATCTCCCTTATTACATGTGATGTTGAACATGTTTTCATATACTTATTGACCATCTGCATTTCCTCTCTGGAGAAGTGTCATTTTAGCTCTGCCCATTTTTTGATGGGGTTCATTTTTGTTGAGTTTCATCAGTTCTTTGTATATTTTTGTGATCAATCCTTTTTATCACTAGTTTTGTGTGAGAAAATTTTTTCCCAATCAGTGGGGTGTTTGTTTTTTGTAATGTTTCTTTTGCTGTACAGAAGTTCTTTAACTTGATGTAGTTCCATCTATTTATCCTTACCTTCACTATTGTTGCATTGGGTGCTATATCTTCAAAGATGTTACTGAAGTGTATGTCGTGTAGTGTTTTGCCCATCTTTGCTTCCAGGTATTTTATGGTTTCCATTCTTATGTCTAGGTCTTTAATCCACTTCAAGTTGATTTTTGTTCATGGTGCAAGGTAGTGATCTAGTTTCATTTTTTTGCATGTAGCTTCCCAGTTTTCCCAACACCATTTGTTGAGCAGACTTTCTTTGTTCCATTATATCTTCTTTTCTCTTCTGTCAAGATTAGCTGCCCATAAACCTGTGGGTTTATATCTGGGTTTTCTATTCAAATCCATTGGTCTGTGTGTCTGTTCTTGTTCCAATACTTTGCAATTTTGATTATTATGGCTTTGTATAATAACTTGAAATTTGGGATTGTAATGCCTCCATTCTCTTTCTTCTTAGTCATGAGAGTTTTGGCAATTCAAGATCTTTTGTGGTTCCATATGAATCTCATTAGTATTTTTTCTATTTCTTTGAAGAATGACATTGAGGTTTTTGTTGGGATGGCATTAAATCTGTATGTCACTTTTGGTAGGATGGCCACTTTGATGATGTTAATTCTCCTGATCCCTGAGCAGGGAATGTCTTTCCATTTCATGGTGTCTTGTATTTCTTTTAACAGTGTTTGTAATTTTCTTTGTATAGGTCTTTTGTTAAGTTGATTCCCAGGTATTTGATTCTTTTTGTTTTAATTGAAAAGGGGATGGTTTTTTAAATTTCTGCTTGTTCTGATTGGCAGTTATGTATAGGAAGGTCTCTGACTTTTGTGTGTTGATCCTGCTACCTTGCTAAACTGGTTGATTGTTTTGATTAGTTTCTCTGTTGAGCTTTTAGGGTTTTCCATGTAAATTAATATCATCTGCAAATACGAGCAGTTTAACTTCTTTCTCTATTTGGATTCCTTGTGTGTCCTATTGCTCTGGCTAGAACTTCCATTGTTATATTGAAGAGCAGTGGCAATAGTGGATACTGCTGTCTTCCTGATCTCAAAGGAAGGGCTTTCAGCTTTTCTCCATTGAGGATAATACTGGCTGTGGGTTTGTCATATGGCTTCTGTCATGTGGAATATGTTCCTTTTATTCTGAGGATTTGGGGGGGTCTTAAACATAAATGGGTGTTGAACTTTGTCAAATGCCTTCTCCGCATCTATCGATATTATTATGTGGTTTTAATTTTTCTGTCATTTGATATTATGGATTACATTGATTTTCTGAGGTTGAACCATCCTTGTGCTCCTGGGAGAGGATTTTTGCATAAGTGTTCTTTTTTTTTTTTTTTTTTTAAGGGTCAATAATGGGTTTATTATTCCGATTGGTCTGAAGTTTTCTTTTATTTATGTTTTCTTTGTTAGGTTTTGGTATTAGTGTGAAGTTCACTTTTTTTTTTTTTTTTTTGACTTCCTGATTTGCTCTTTATTCTTCCAAGCATCCCTCCAGAGGGTACCATGACTGGGATAGCTCTTCACAGTGGGGAGAAGAAAAACAGACAGTTCCACATTTCAGGAATTCCCATTGTGAAGCATGTTTCCAGGAGGCCAAGTGATTGTGTCTGTCGAGTGGCTGGGCTGAGACCCCCAAGCCCTCTCCTAGGCTAGGCTCACTGGTTTGGGGACATGCACACTTACCCTCTTGGCATTTTCCAATCCAACTACTTGTGACCTGACTCTTCAGGGTTGTACTCCATGTCCAGTGTGCCCCCAGACTATGCCCACCGCTTTTATCACATGGGCCAAGGGAAACTTATCAGCTTATATTATCCTGGGCTGCTGGGACTAAAGGGAAAATGAAGTAGCAGGGATTGAAGGAAAAGCTGTATTACATTTTTCCACATGTCTGAGGGAGGGGTGTGCTCTGACTGCAGGACTGGTGTTTTAGCAGGAGTACGACAAGTAGCCTAGTTGTACACAGATGTTAAAAAATATACACAAAATTAAGTATCAACATTTCTCCCCAACCTATTACCTCTTCAAAGAGAGGACTAGTGTTCTAGAGAACTAGAAGTTTGTGCTGCTGTTACTCCCTGTGCAAAAGTACCTGGCACCTTGCCTCCAATGACAGGAGAAACATAGTAGTCTGATGGGCAACTCAGTCACAAAATAAAAATGACCGAGCCTAAGAGATGAAGCAGGATGGGCTGCTTGGAAACCTGGCTGGCAGCCCCAGAGGAAAAACCAGTGGTAGTCAGCAAGCTCTATGTACAGCTCTTTTCAGGATATGAGGGATATAGCTGGCATCGGAAGAAATGTGAACAGGGCAGGTAGAGTGGGGCCGGTGGGGGACCAGGTGGGTTTCCTTACGGCAAGACTGAATACAGGGACTGAGTGCTGGGGGGGCAGTTTGGCAAGAGAATGAAAAATGAGGGTAAGAATCCAGGTATGGAACCTCTTCCACAAGAGCAGTTCCAAGTCTCTGTCCCGGTCCCAGACAACCCATCTGGCCCAGGACAGGGCTAGGTTCAGTAGTGGGGACACTGGAGAAGGTACTCACTTCCCCACTCTGCCCCTGACCCAGGCAGTGTTGGGAAGCAACAGGCTTCTCCCCATCACTGTTACCAGTGTCTCGAGTCCACCAGCTCAGGTCAAAGGCTGAGTTTCTTGAGACTCTCGTAGCCCACCACAATGACAATGGTGGAGGGTGTGGCTGAGATGATTCTGGCTGATAGGCCCTTCATGAGGCCCCAAGGACCTTCTTCTGCCATCAGCTGTCTGAAAGTCAGGATGATGGAGTTCTTGCCCTCAACCTACACTCGGGTTTGGATCACATTCATGGGGTTGGGGAGGATGGAAGCAGTGGCTGCGGCCAAAGGCCGGAGATGGCTTGAAAGACAATGTGAGGGCACTCCTTAGGGCAGAGGTGTGAGAGCTGCTCTGCATAGAAGTGATAGAAGGGCCACCAGACAGCACTGTTTGGGATGTAGGTAAACAGGGAAGCCACGTAACCTCTGTAGAAGCCACGAAGCCCATCAGCCTGCAGGATCTGCCTGATATATCCTTGGCTTGGCCAAACGCAACGGCCCCACGTCCCTCTGTGTTCCCTCGCACTTGGAAGTGGCCCATTTTCTCACCCTTTCGCTGCATCATTAGGTGCTGGGAGACCACATTGATGGGCACTGTGATGCTCTGGGCCACAAGGAAGGCCGAGCCATCAGCCACTAGTGATTTGACTGTGTTGCTCTGGCTTAGTCAGCTACAAACTTCCAGGTGAGCTCGTAAGTGGTAACGTAGCACTGGCCAGAGATGAGGGTGAAGGTGTTGACCAGGAACCCCCGGTAGAGGCCAGTCACCCCAAATGCTCGGAGAATCTTGATGAAGGCATCGAAGGGCCCATGGTAGAGGCTCTTGCCCTTCTGAACCTGCAACCGAGTGCGGATGAGGGTAAATGGGTAGATGCTGACACGGATCATCATCGTCATCGCCACACCAAACACATAGAACTTCTTCTTGTCCAACTGCGTCCACTCAATGATCTGGATGTTGCGTTTGTCCTCCTTTGTGCCTGCAGACCTTCTCAAATCAGGGCGGTTCCACCGCGTATGCAGAGGGTTCCAAGTTCGGATCTCTAGGCCGCCACCCCAAGTCTATCCTCTGTTCCCCGGCGACTCTGGGCCCAAGTCTATCCTCTGTTCCCCGGCGACTCTGGGCCTCGGGTCGCATCTTCCTCCATCTCGACCTGGCTCCTGGCTGAGATGTGGTAGTTTTCCTTTTTTGATTTTTTTGGATGAGTCTGTGTAGTATAGGCACTAGTTCTTTTCTGAATGTTTAGTAAATTTCATTTGTATATCCATCTGGTCCTGGGCTTTTATTTTTAGGGAGGGTTTTGATTACGTCTTCCATTTCCTTGCTTGTAATTGACCTGTTTAATTGGTCTATTTCTTCTTTATCTAGGTTTGGCTTGTTGTAGAGTTGTAGGAATTTGTCCATTTCTGCTATATTGTCGAACTTGTTTCCATATAGTTGTTCATAGTATTCTCTGATCATTCTTTTGATTTTTGCTGGATCTGTTGTGATTTCTCCTCTTTTGTTTATGATTCTGTTTATTTGTGCTTTCTCTTGTTTCTTTGTGAGCCTGGCTAGTGGCCTGTCTATCTTGTTTATTTTTTCAAAGAACCAACTTTTGGTTTCGTCAATTTTTTTGGATTGTTTTCCTAACTTCCATTTCATTTATTTCTGATTTGACTTTTATTATTTCCTGTCTTCTACTGCCTTTTGGGCTACTTTGTTGTTCTTTTTCCAGTTCTTTAAAGTGGGAGATTAGGTTGTTTCTTTTGAGTTATTTCTTGTTTCTTTATGTGAGCCTGTATTGCTATATATTTTCCTCTTATAACTGCTTTTAATGTGTCCCATAAGTTTTGGAGAGTTGTGTCATCATTGTCATTCTTCTACGGGGAATTTTTAAATTTCTTCTTTGATCTCCTCAGTGGTCCTCCAGTAGTGTGAGTTTCAGTCTCCACATGGTAGGTGGATCTTGTCTTCTTCACATGGTTTATTTCTAGTTTGATATCTTCATGGTGAGAGAAAATAGTTGGTATGATTTCGATTTTAGTGTATCTGTTGATATTTATCTTGTGACCCAGTACGTGGTCAATCCTAGAGAATGATCCATGTGGATTTGAGAAAAATGTGTACTCAGCTATTATTATTCTATATTCTAATAATATTATATATTATTCTATAGATGTCTATTAGATTCACGTTGTCCTTGTTCAGAGCTTTAGTGTCTTTCATTATTTTTTGTCTTGTTGCTCTGGCCATTGTGGAGAGTGGCATGTGGAAGTCTCCTATGTATATATTTTCTCTGATACACATATTCACAGATGACAATAGTTTCCTGATACATTTTAGTGTTTCTTCATTTGGTGCATTTTTGGTGATGATTGTTATGTCTTCTTGTTGTATTGTCCCCTTAAACAATGTGCCTTCTGTGTCTCTCTTAACCTTTTTTAGTTTGAAGTCTATTTTGTCTGATACAAAATTGGTTCATTTGCTTGCAGGATTGTTTTCCATCCTTTTATTTTCAATCTGTTTTTATCTTTTGTAGTTAGATGTGTTTCCTATAGACAGCAGAATGTTGTGCTCTGTTTTTTAATCCATCCTGCAATCATTCAAGAAATACTTAATTGTATGCCAGCAATTAAATGGTGTTGCTCTTTTCTTGTTTTTCTGGATAGTGGAAAATGAAAACCACTGTGATTTTGTTAAGCTCCGGGAAATGCTTATTTGTACGAACATGGAGGACTTGCGAGAGCAGACCCACACTAGACACTATGAACTTTACAGGCGCTGTAAGCTCGAGGAAATGGGGTTCACAGATTTGGGCCCAGAGAATAAGCCAGTCAGGTAAGTGTAGTTTCTCTGGTAAGTATGATTTCTTTGAGAAGTCAACCAAAGAAGAAGGTAGAGAGAGGATTATACCTCTGTATAGTTTCATAATGGTGGAGAATGTGTTTTCCAGAACCTCTCCTATCCCAGGAAATGAAATCTTTTAGTAATGATACTGTGTTTATCAAATTATTTGCAGAATTTTTGCTTTTAAATAGTCTACTTCAGAAGGTAAGTAGAAGGAAGAAAATATGACAAAAACCACTATTTCCTGTTGAAATATAACTAAAGGAAAAAATTCTTTTATTACTCAGTTTTATTTTTTGTATTTATCTGAAAGTACTTTAATACTAAAATGTAATCATACTGAATAAGCTAAAAAGCCATTAGTTTTTATCCTGATAAAAGTTTGTCATAGGATCCAGCAAGATGGCAGCACAGTGAAGATGCTGAAATCACTATGTCTAAGCTCACACAGGAATATAAGACTAAAAATGGACTGTAGACTTACACACTACGAGTTTCAACCCAAATGAGAGCACCTTGGACTCACAAGAATGAAGATAACTGAGGGAGACTCAGTGATTGGGGATCTCTAATAGGGGAGCTCTGATCTGGGAGTGCCCAGGCATTAGGATGTGCCTCAGATGGGAGGCTTGCTGCTCTTCAGCCCTGTAAAGCCCTGGAGGTAAAGAGCTCAGTGAGTAGAACCCAAGCTGAGGGGAAAGACTGCTTCAAGTGGGCACATAGAGTCCTGGAGGTGGGGAGGAAGAACTGGCAACTGGGACAGCTGGGAGGTTTCCAGCACTGCCTGCATCACCCACCCCCCCACAGCAGAAGCCTGGAGGCTTGTGCACCATTAAGGTGGGGACAGCAAGGTTCACAAAGCCCCAGAGGTTAAAGGTTGGGGGAACTGCTAGATGAAGCAACCACAGGCCCAACCCTGGAAAACTGTAACACTTTTAACACTCCCTCAACCCTCCATGGGCACATCCTATCATAGAGAGGCCCTAGGAAGTACCTCAGAGAGGGGAGTTCCTACTGATCTAAGTGCTTACCACATCTACCCACAAAACCTGTGGTAAAACCCTGGAGTTAGAGAGACAACTCAGCTCTGAGGGGACCCCAGGCAGTAGGGAGAGACTGATCTGAAGGGGCACGAAGAGATTGGGAGGCACTGAGGGAAGACTGGTAGCCTGCACAGTTGGGAGTCTTGCAGCCCTGCTGTTGCTCCCTGCATCCCTGCAATCCCCCGCCCCCACAGCAGACGCTTGAAGGCACGTGAGCCAGTAAAGCACTGTACTGCAAGGCTCACAGTGCTCAGAAAGTAAGTAAAACCAGTTACTGGCTGAACAACAAGCCCAGCTACAGGGAGAATAGTGTTGTAGAACCCTTCTAACGAGCCCCACCCCACACAGGCACATTCTAGCATAGAGGGAACCGAGGACATCCGTGTACTGTAAAGATCAACAGGCACCTTCCAGAGACTAGGACTCAGACATGTTACTGGGAGAAGCTGAACGCCACAAGAAACCCCTGACTGTTAATGGTTGAGATGACAGACAGAATTCCACACAGTGAAGGTTGAAAAAACAGGAGATATTGAAACAAAAGCACAGTTCAGAAAATCTTCCACAACTGACATGTCTGGAGGTCCCTCAGCTTTCCCAGAAAGAATTCCAGTCAATAATAGGAACACCGTGTCTCAACGAATAGAAATTATTAGAAAATACATGACAGGGAAAAGAAGAAATACCCAAGCAAGTCCACAGGGGAAAAAATTCACCACAAAGAATTCAGTCACCAGAAATCACCAAAGAAATAGAAGAACTGCTCAGCCTACCAGATAGAGAATACAAATCAAAAAGATGAGAAGGAAAAAAAATACGAGGCAAACTATGCAAACAAGGAATTGAAAAATGCAAACAAGGAATTGAAGAGTGCAAATGAGGAAATGAATGAAAAAAATGAAAAAAAAAAAAACCAATATGAGGCAGTCAACGAATTGGAGAAAGACAATGAGACATTAAAAAAGGAAATACAAGAAATGTAGGAGATGAAAAGGCCACTAGAGGAGATAAAGAATGCTGGGGAAAGTAATGACACAAAAACACTGATTTAATAAGATACCTGCACCCCCATGTTGCTTTATTTACAATTGGAAGAACATGAAAACAACTCATATGCCCAAAAGTAGATGATTGGATTAAGAAAATGTTGTGTGTGTGCACTATGGAATATTACTCAGCAACCAAAAAAAAGAAACATGTCTTTTGCAGCAACATGGATACATGGATGGAGCTGGAAAAGATCATGCTTAGCGAAATAAACTAGAAAGAAAAGGAAAAATACCAGATGGTTTCTCTCATAGCAGGAATAAAATGGAACAGGCGAGAAAATAATGATAATGATGAACAGCTATATACCAGAGACATTTTATGGGGGTGGAGTGGGGAATGGGATCAAAAACAGTGAGGGGGGAGGAAAATGCACTGGACTACGGCGATGGCACATGGGTGATTTGGCCCACGGGGATTACAACTGAGATGGAAAAATGCACAAAATGATGTAAAAATAAACTATTACATTATTTAGAGTAAAAAAGCTTGGCATAATTTAAACTAGTAAAATACATTGTAAAGGAAGGAAAGTAATTATAGGGATTATAGAGGTTAATTATGGAGGTTAGTTTCTTAAAATAATGTATATTCAAGCTTCAGAGACGAAGTTTGAATTTGATCTTGAGAAATAGATTATCTAGCATAGTTGGGGGTTGGGAAATAAGCATTGGACACAGAGATGACACAGTAGATTAAAGCAAGAAATAATTGTTGTGTTTTAGGAACAGTGAATAGGAATGAATGGCTGCAGTCATTGTTTAGTAAGAAATGAATCTGGAAGAATAAAATTAGATTGTAAAGTTTCTTAAGTGCTGTTTAAAGGTGGTGGGATTCTGTAGGTAACATAAGTTTAATGAAGAGAAAAGAGATGAAATCTGGTTCTGTGGAAAGTCTTAAGAAGCAGCAAGAAAAAGTAAAAGAACTGAAAGATCAGAAATCAATTAGAACATTATTGTAATAATTAGGATAAAATGTTAGAGAAATGGGCCCTCCCTTGTGGCACAGAGGGTTAACACACAGCACCGTGGAGCTCTCAGCAGCCACTGAAGTGGTAGTTCCATTCTAGGGGACTGACCTACATGGTGTGGCAGACCTCTCCTGATCTCTGCTCCCCTCAGCAGTGTACTTCATCAGTCTGCCTGTTCTGCTCCCCATTCTGTCCCTATTGAATCTTCTCACCCTCCACACCTCTGGCCTGTACCCTGGCTCCTGTATGCATAAATAAATAAACTTAAAAGAAAAAAAAGAATGTTATAGAAATCAGGTGAACTTTAACAGTACATCTGTAGAAATTACAAGAAGATTGTATTAAATGATGTTAGGGTTATAGGTTAAACTCTCAGACGAGGGCGATCAGATGTGGAGATAAGGGTAAGGAAAGAATCCAAGGTGACTAAAAAGGTTTCCATTAACTGACACCAAATATTAAAGTTTAAAAGCAGTTTGTCTGGAGTGAAGTGAGAGTACTTTTTGCTACGGATTTGGTAAAGTGGATATTTCAAAATTTTACAATCTATTAGCCTTTTCATGTCTTCTGCTGTAGAAAATTTCATGTTTCAGGATTCTCTGTGTAAGAGGATGTTGGTACTTATAGTTGGGTTTATGAGGCTTACCCTAAGGTGTTTGTTTTACAAGTTTGTTTCATCATCTTTTTAACATGAGAATATATCACAACTTTCTAGTCTTCAAGAGACCTATGAAGCCAAAAGACATGAATTTTATGGTGAACGTCAGAGGAAGGAAGAGGAAATGAAGCAGATGTTTGTGCAGCGAGTAAAAGAGAAAGAAGCCAACCTGAAAGAAGCTGAAAGAGAGGTAAGTACACTGGTTTGATGTGCTTCACACTATTAACTGGGATTTATTTCAAGAATTTAAGAATGTTTTGGACATTAGTTGTTCATTAAAAGTAGCAATTTTGGGTCCCTCTCTCGTGGCTCAACGGGTAAGGATGCAGCACTGCAAGCTGGCTGCAGCCGGTTCAGTGCAAGTTTGATCCCACTTCCCTGGAGGTGACCCATATAGCACAGCAGACCTCTCCTGACCTGCCCTCTGCTCCCATCAGCAGTGTACTTTGTCGACCTGCCTGTTATCCTCATTCTGTCTCTGGTGAAGCCTCTCAACACTCCTGTACCTCTGTTTGTACCCCAGTTCTGTATGATTAAATAAATAGGATCTTAAAAAAAAAAAAAGTATCAGTTTTTATTCATAGCCTTGGATGCAGATCAAAAAAAAAAATACTGTCTGAAATCAAAGTTAAAATTTTGGCCTTTTTGATCAAATTTTAATCTTCCATTAGAAGTGGATTTGTGATGGTTGTTAAGAATTGTGATAGGTTGCTAGTACGTGTGATGGAATAGGTTACTATGAATTGTTTTAACTATGAGCCAAAAATGTTAGAGCTGTGACTTGATACAGCTTTTTATGAGACTTTGAGAGCTGCTGAAATGGGTAACTATGAAAACTGTTAAGCAACTTTATAACTTTGAACTCAAACTTCTAGATGAGGTAAGCAGTCTAGATGACCTATGGAGAGCTTGTCACAAAAAAAAGTTTATTAGTGAACAAACATAATTTTTCTTTGCTTCTGATATAATTTAGTTTTGATTTAAATATGTTCACTAGTTAATTAGACCTAACTGCAATGACTGCTTTTAAGTATATGATCATATTTAAGGTGAGAAAAGGATATGCTACAAAAAGGAATTTCAAAGAGAACACAGAAATGTTAATACAGATGAATATGACTAATAACAGAAGTTCCTAATGAATCATTTGTAATTTTAGGAATTTAGCACTTCGAGTAAATTTATAGTACTCACTGTTTCAATAAACCCTACAGTAAATGGTTAAATAAAATTAGTAATATATCTTACTTATTTTCATCATTTGATATTTTATTTTGAAGAGATCAGACAAGAAAAGTGAAAGTACATATGTCCCTCCTGATATGTAGATTTATTAATGAAAAATTTTTCTGAGTTTTTTTTGCTTTATTTCATTTTTGTACAGTATTTGATTTCCCCTGCCTACTGTAGTAACCATAATTTGCCCACCACCACAGCATCCATGAATGAACCATCACCAAACTACTTTATGCTCTTCCCTCTTCTGCTTTGACCTCTTTCCCTCCCCTTCCCTTGTTGGGTGCCTCACATACAGTTAGCTTTCAAGTTTTGTTTTTTTTGTTTTTTGTTTTCACCTATAAGTGAAACCATCCAATATGTTTCTTTTTCCATCTGACTTATTTCACTAAGTATCATCCTGTCCAACTCCATCCACATTGCTGCAAATGATCTGGGTTTGTCTTTTTTTAAGGAATGTAGGTTTCCTTTTGAATTAATGTTTAGTGTCCCTTGAGTAGATTCCTAGGAATGGAATAGCTGGATCCAATTTTAGAATTTTGAAGATCCTCCTCACAGTTTTATAGTGTGCATTTCCACCAGCAGTATAAGATGGTTCTTTTTCCTATGCATCCTCAGTAGTACTTATCTGCAATTTGGTTTTTTTATTTAGATTCATGCCATTCATACTGATGTGAGGTATTATCACTGTGGTTTTGATTTGCATTTCCCTTATTAAAAGTGATGTTGAGCATATTTTTCATATACCTGTTGTCCTGCCTTTCTTTTTTAAAGAAATCTCTTTAACTCTTCAGCCCACATTTTGATTGGGTTGCTTGCTTTATTTGTGTTTGGTTGTATAAGCTCATTATAGAGATTTGATATCAGCCCCTTGGCATTTGTATGGTGTATAAATTTTTTCTCCCACTCAGTAGGGTGTGTCCATTTCTTCTGTACTATGTGTGTGTGTATACCCTCATCTAAATGATGCTGTAGACGTAGTTACACTATATCCCTATTCTGTCCCCAGTCACTTTTATTCATTGCACATTTCTAATAAGTTTAGGTGTGTTTTCTTTCATAAAAATTACACCTAAGAAAATTAATAGGAATGCCATAATTTCACCTAATCCCCAGTCCATATTCAGTTTTCTCCGTTTTCCCAAGATTGTCTTTATTATTTCTTTTTGGTGACTTTTTTTTTTTTTAAGATTTATTTTTTACTCATATAGAACTGGGGTACAGGTGAGAGGTGCAGGGGCAGTGAGAGGCTTCACCAGAGACAGTAGGAAGCAGAACAGGCAGATTGTCAAAGTACACTGCTGAGGGGAGCAACAAGTGGGTCAGAAGAGGTCTGCCACACCATATAGCTCATCTCCGGGGCTGGGGTTCGAACTCATGCTCTGAAGTGGCTTTAGCTTCTTAGTGCTGTGCTTTAACCTGCTGCACCACCAGGGAGGACCGACTTTTTGTTTATCTTTGAACAAGAATTTAATCATGGATCTCATATGAGTGCTCTGTTGAATCTTTCCATTCAAGAATATTCCTGAGTTTGAGATTATTTCTGAGAAATCAATATAGCGATAGGAGTTATAATGAATAGAAAACAATGATGCTAAACTTTTTTAACTAGAAAACTTATGATAGTAGAGTAAAAACTTTTTTTCATGTTTGAGTTTATGAATAGTTGGACTTGTTTATTACAGTAACAAATGTTAGCAACATTAATACAATGTGTTCTGTTAAACATAAAGGAAAGAAAGAGAAGGTGGAATTTCAAGATTCCTAACAGCTTTAGGATGTTTTTCTAACAAAATGAGTGTTAAAAATAGTTTTTATCTGCCCTCTCTGGTGGCGCAGCGGGTTAAAGCACAGCACCAAGAAGTTAAAGCCACTTCCACATGAGTTCGATTCCTGGCAGCCCCGGAGGTGACCACATGGCGTGGTGGACCTCTCCTGACCCACCCTCTGCTTCCCTCAGCAGTGTACTTCGTTGATCTGCCTGTTCTACTCCCCACTCTGTCTCTGGAGAAGCCTCTCGCTGCCTCTGAGCCTCTGGCCTGTATCCCAGTTCTGTATGCACAAATAAATAAATCTTTAAAAAAAAATAGTTTTTATCAGGCCCTCCCTGGTGGCGCAGCGGGTTAAAGCACAGTACTGGCAAGCTAAGGCCACTTCCCGCATGAGTTCGATTCCCGCCTGCCCTGGAGGTGACCACATGGCTTGGCAGACCTCTCCTGACCCGCCGGCTGCTCCCCTCAGCAGTGTACTTCACCGATCTGCCTGTTCTGCTCCCCACTGTCTCTGGTGAAGCCTCTCACTGCCCCTGAGCCTCTGGCCTGTACCCCAGTTCTGTATGCACAAAAATAAATAAATCTTTTAAAAAAATAGTTTTTATCAGATTTGGGAAGACAAGACAACCTCTGGGAGTTTGAAAGATGATGATGTATGTTGGGACATTTTTGTGCATCTGCCTGCTTTGATTTGGAAAGTCAAAAGTTTATCATCTTGCTCTGGCTGAGCAGATTTGCCTGCTTAAATATTTTTACTATACAGGAACCATTAGCAAAGCAGATTAGGAACCTATGCTTCTCTTGAGATGATAGCTGCAGGGCTTTCTATTTCAAACCTGTCCCCGTTATAGTACTTCGCCATTCCATACTTGGAACATTTAATGTTTATTAGAATGGAGTTTAGCTCTTCCCAGTTTCTATCTTCACCTTCTGACTTTTTTTTTTTTTTTAAGATTTATTTATTCATACAGAACTGGGGTACAGGCCAGAGATGCGGAGAGTGAGAGGATTCACCAGAGACAGAGTGGGGAGTAGAACAGGCAGATCGAGGAAGTACACTGCTGAGGGGAGCAGCAGGCGGGTCAGGAGAGGTCTGCCGCGCCATGTGGATCTCCTCCGGGGCAGGCGGAGATCGAACTCATGCGTAAGCGGCTCCAGATTCTCAGTGTTGTGCTTTAACCCGCTGCGCCACCAGGGAAGGGCCCGCCTTCTGACTTTTAATGAAATATTTCCTCAGACATTATATGTCATCTTTTCTGGAAAACAAGTCCTACTATTTTTGTAAGTGGCTGGTTGCTGCCCAAAATTGAAAATACCAATTGAAAGCTTATAAACCAGATTAAATGATAAATTAAAGTTATCATTTTTAATCCAGATTCTAAAGACTGCTTTTGTTCTTGACAGGCAATGGTCATGACTGACTCATAGGATTTGCTTCACTTCCTAGATTTTTTTTCCTCAAATAACAGCTGTACTAAGGAAACCTCATGCTATAATGTTGTGAATTTTTCAAAACTTACTTAATTGCAGCATTATATGTATTTAAGCATAATTTTTTTTTTACTTTATCAATTAGACATAGGTTATTTTTCCCTGTATGATGCAGTTTCTTTTGTACTGAAAACTTATGTATAAAACTAAATTTAACAAATTTTGATTAGTTTATATTTGAAGGTGAATGACTAGGGGAAAATTTAATAGCTTTCTTTAGGTTTTTGATTGAAATTGACATTTGACAAGCTGCTTACTTAAGTAGGTTTACTAGTATTGCTTCTACCAATACTTGGTTGACTTTTTACTACACTTGATGACTTTATTTGGGAAATAAGCCATTTTTTTTCTTTTCATCACTTCTGTAATTTGTGTTCCTCATTTTATTTGAACATGGATTTTAGAAATTATTTAAAGAGACTATGAAAAAATGTAGAGGTATTTTAAAAATGAATTTGTTCATGAGACTAGTGTTTTGTTCATTAAATTTTTGCATGGGGATCCATTAGTGTCTTAGACATTTTTACTTGAAGAATGAACCAGGAAGTGTGTAGATATACTGTAAAGGTGAGTAAGCTTCAGCAGTTGTATTTTGAGCCAGAGTCTATGTTACCTGTGTATGTGCTGCCATACTGTGTCATTAGTAGGAATTGCACCTTTGTTTCAGCTACAGGCCAAATTTGAGCACCTTAAAAGACTTCACCAAGAAGAGAGAATGAAACTTGAAGAAAAGAAAAAACTTTTGGAAGAAGAAATAATTGCTTTTTCTAAAAAGAAAGCTACCTCTGAGATTTACCAGAGCCATACCTTTATGCCAGCAGGCAGCAACCTGAGGAAAGATAAGGACCGTAAGAAGTAAGCCATCCCCAACCTCCCAGTTTCTGTAGGCCCCATAAATTTCTCTCTCATTGCCCTATTTGATCTTTTTCATTTATTGTTTTATTGAGGTGACAGTGTTTTATAAAACTGTATATGATTAGGTATATACATTTATACCTCCTCAGATATATGTTAGCACACCACACCTATCACCAGTAAAACTTACTTTAATTGCAGCAGCATTCTATGTATTAAGAACATATTTTTTACTGTATCTATTAGAAATGGGCTATTTTTCCCTTGATGATGCAAATTCTATTGCAGTATGTATGTATCAAACTCTAAATTTAGCCCTCTACATACACTTCTCACCATTGTCTCCTTATTCATAGTCTGACTGCTTCAAGTAATGCCAGCTCCTTGAGAGCATAAGCCTTGTCTGTCTTGTTCACTGCTATTTCTTTAGAACAGCAGTTGGCATGTATTAGCCACTCAGTACATTTTTGTCTGAATGAACAAAATAAAAATAGATCATAATATAAAGAGGATTAGGGTGGGGAGATATGACTCTTCTTATTTCCATCTAATGACTACCGAGCCACCATAAGTTATGTTACTTCCTATCTAGCTTTGTTAGGTAATCATAGACATAAAATAATACTTGATAAAAAATTTAATTCATAGCTTCACTATTTTTAAACCAATTTCTACTGATAATGATTTTGTGAGAATTTTTATCTTAATAAGGGATCCAGGCTATCGATTCCAACTCCTGTGCTTTGATGTCAGAACTTGTGAAACCAATGGTGGACGTAAAGATGCAGAGGAAGGTAGAGAGGGCCCCAGTACAATGGGGCGGCCATGAGTAGCATTTGGATGATAATCTCAAGGATTTTAGGTTTGGGGTATGTGTTAAAATCACAGTTACCAAAGTTTTAAAAAAAATAAGTGCTCTCCCTCCCCCATTTCTCTCACTTAATCTTTTTGCCATTTTGACTGACTATTCATGAAATTCATTTTTTTGGAAATGTTTATTTGCACATCTTTGTCTCCATTTATTCCAATTAACTCTGCTTTAGCAGCATAACTCCTATGTTCCTCATAGAGAAGCACATCCTTTGTAATATCACCACATCTTCAGCATTTTCAGAATATTGAATTCAACTTCAGAATCGTTAGGGAAATAGAACCTTGGTATATGTTGGCTTTCTGTTTATGTACTCTGAAGTTAATCCACAGTTTTTGTGGCTGTAATTGGCCTGTGGACCCTAAAGTTTCAGGGGCAAAGAAAGAACTTTATCATTTGTAAGTTTTTAATGTAAGCTTCACAGGGGCATGGATCTTTGTTATATTCGTTCCCAGAGTCTTAGAGTAGTGCTAGTACTAAGTGGATAGTACAATTTGTCAGTGAATATCATTTATCATAGCTGTGTTTTATTTCAGCATTGAATGTCAAAGATTAACTGAATATAATCTATTACTGTTTTTTAACATGCTTTGGACTATAAAGTTACAGTGACTTTTTGCCCCTTTATCCTCTTCATCTTAACCCAACCAGTGTTACTAACATTGTGTTCCCCAATTTCATTTAGTATAAGAAAAACTGTAAAAATTGTCAGCCCTCTTCAGGAAGAATCATTAGCATATGTGTGTGTGCTATTTAAAATAAGAACCACCCCTATAGTTTTTGAGAACTCAAAACAGCTAATAGGGGTTGATAGTTTTTGGTTTTTTGTTTTTTCTTTTTTCTTTTCCAAAGTTCTGTAGGTAAATACTACAGAATGTTAGATTACATGTGCTCTTTCTGTAAAATTTGTAAACTATTGACTAGCAGTTTTTATTTCCTATATCTATATTTTATATTGTACCAATCAAAAGATTTTTTTCTCTTTCCAGCTCCAATTTTATATAAAACAAAGGTTCCAGATCACAGAAGGTCATCAAGCAGAAGTTATTAAAATATTAGATGTATGTTTTGATTTTCTTGCTGTTTTTATTTGCTGTATCACTTATTCTGTACTGGAAAATGGCTGCAGTCACTGCCATTTATGGAATAATACTTGGTGTAAGGTTAATATATAAAGGCAGATTGGAGGATATAATTTCTATTAGTTTTTGTTTTAAATTTTTAAGCTGCTGATTTCCAGTGATTCTGGATCATTTCTCCTGCTGTCCTGTCACTGTCACTTTGAGTGCTATATACCATGGTACAAATTATCAGTGCTGTTGAAAATGTATAACTCAGTCATATGTGGATACCTGATTGCATTTATATTCCAAAATCAACTTCTTTGTTTATAATAAAGGTAAAATTGGAAATATATTTTAAATTGTATTATGTAACCTGATATTAATTTCTCAATAGTTTTATAGAACTTTAAAATTATTGAATCGATAATGTGATCTTAAGTTTTTGTATCAAATTATATAACATAGTGACCTATACTTGCAGCTACTAATCTGTTATTCCAGTGAAAAAATGTTAAAAAGTAAAAATATCTCTTACCACAACATGGCAGAGTAGAGACTTTTAGATCATTTTCTCCCCAAATATAATTTTAAAAATATAATTTTAAAAAATACTAAAAGTAAGTTCAAAAGGAGATTCAAAGGTCTATTGACAGATGGAGGACTTTTTTGAAGGTTTTACGCTGAGGTTGGTAGAATATTTGTGGGGTGGTGAGTAGAGGCAAAGGAAATCAGTAGCCTTGCCAGTGGAACAGTTGAGGACTGGCTACCAAACATACTAACCACAATGAATGCTATCACTGGAACTTTTCACAGAGGGCTCATGGTCCTTGTACACACTCAGGACCATGAGGGTGGTCACTGGTGTTTGTTCATTTGTCAGGGGTTTTGTGGCAGGCAATATGGGCAAGGGAAATTTTCTACCCACCCATCATGTGATGCTGGAGGCAGCATCACATGGAGCTCCTCCAGGATCAGTCACCAAAATGTGGGCAGCAGGTAGAGCAGCAGGTGGGAGAGACCTCTGTCTACGCATAGAAAAATCTAAGTGAACAGTTCTGGCACCTGGCAATCCAGGTTCCTCGTGGCAGCCATACTAACAATACCAGAACACAGAGTTTGTACCAGGCATATATAAGTCTGTGTCAGGATGCACATGCTCTGCATATCTCACCAGGTAAACTTGATGGAACATGCTTTCTGTCATGAAATGGAGCAGCAAGGAAGTGGGTTGAGATTGTAGGATCCCTTGAGCATTGAATTGTTAATGTTGGAGAAAGAAGAGAGAAGGCAGAGGGAATCTATCTGGAATTACCCTGATTCATCAGGACTGAGGGCAAGAATTTTATGCCCCATCTTTTTCTTAACCCCCACTCCTGCTTGCCACATCAACAAACCCCCCAAAAGGAAACAAAAAAAACATACAAATACCTAGGAAGCAAGGAGTATAATGGAAAAAGCAGAAAACTAGAATTCGGGTACATACATAGAGGAAACAAATAGATTCCTCTGTAACAGACAAAGATTTTAGGATAGCAGTTTTAAAAGTGAGGTATTAGAAGGAGAATCTAACATAACACAAAAAGATATGCTGAATAAAACGTAAAAAGTTTTAAATAGAAATTAGTCGGGTAGAAGAGTTATTTCAGAGCTAGAAGACAAAAATGTACAAATCACTCAAATACAAAAAATATAATTTAGGAAAAATGAAGGAACTATAAGAAACATTAGGTTCAATTCAAAGAGGTATCAAGGATAATGGAATTCCAGAAGGTAAAAGATAATGAAGGGGACAGAGATGCTACTCAAGAGAAATAAAGGATGTCCAGGAAACAAAAAACACCCAGATTTCTAAATGTAAAATAACCCTCACCGAGTCACCTATTAAATTATGAAATGTTAAATGATTAGAAGTACAGGCTGTTAGATTTTTTAAAAGAATATACAAGGGTACCTCAGGCTCTCAGATTTCTCAGCCATTGCCCTTCATGCCAGAAAAGTGGAGTGAAGTGTTCATAATCTTAAAAGACAAAAAGCCACCAAGAATACTCTATCCTGCAAAATTATTCAAATATGAAATAAAAGCTTTATAGACAAAATCTTACGAAGTTTACCACTACAAGACCTGCACTACAAGAAATGTTGAAAATTCTCCAAGAAAAGAAAGATCTGTGAGCAGAGTGACAATAGAAATACTAAATCAGAAATTTAAATAACCAAAAAGCAAGAATCCAGAGTATAGACACAGAAAAAAAATAACAACTGAGAGAACCACCAGGGAAAGCCATCCAAATGAAAAAGCAGCAAGAGAGAAATTAAAAAAGAAACAGAGGGCCCTCCCTGGTGGTGCAGCGGGTTGAAGCACAGCACTAAGAAGCTTAAACCACTTTAGCATGAGTTCGACCCCCTGCCCCGGAGGAGATCCACATGGCGCGGCAGACCTCTCCTGACCTGCCCACTGCTCCCCTCAGCAGTGTACCTCGTCCATCTGCCTGTTCTGCTCCCCACTCTGTCCTTGGTGAATCCTCTCACCCTCTGCATCTCTGGCCTGTACCCCAGTTCTGTATGAATAAATTAATCTCAAAAAAAAAAAAAGATATATCGTGGCGTCTCTCTGTTGGCAGAGAGTGCGCCACAAGGGACAAAGGTGAGCACTCTATAATGATCAAGGGAGTAACTCACCAGGAAGATATTAACTGTCATTAGTACCTATCCACCTACAATGTAAGCAGCTACTAAAAAGATCTGAAGTAAAACAATAACCAAAACACACCAGTAATGCAAAACTTCAACACACTTCTTACACAAAGCACTAAGATCATGCAGATATCATGGAAATAAAGGTCTTAAATGTATAATAAATATTTACAGAACCTTCCATCCCAAAATAACAATATACGTTATTTTCCAGTGCACATGAAACTTTCTCAAGTATTGATCACATACTGGGACAGAACAGAAAACATGTTTATAATTATATGAAAATACATGTATCAAGCATCTTACTTGATCACAATAGTATAACACTATAAATTAGTCACAAAAATAATCCCAAACAAACCAAAGTATGTGGAGACTACAAAAAATTGTTTTTTAGCAACTCCTAGTTCAATAAATCAAACAAGAAATAGTATCTGTGGCTAATGAAACTTGAGAGATAAGCATCCTATTGGATGTTCTAAAAGCAATAATACAAATACATAGTAATGTAAATCCACATTACACAACAAGAAATCCAATAATGTAACTTCCTAAGTGAAGGAAGAACTAGGGGGAAAATAATCAGAAGGAAATAACAAAGATTAGAGTGGAAATAATGAAATAGGAAACAAAAGATAGTTTGAAAGATCAGTGAAACAAGAGTTTGGTCCTCAAAATCTAAACAAAATTGACAGACCCTTAGCTAGAATTACTAAGATAAGAGGACAAATCCAAATAAAAATAGTTGACAAGATTCAAAAACACATAGACGATAAAAATTCAAAAGTGTGAGTAAATGGAGTTACTTCAACAAAGCAAAAGCCAGTTACAGCCTTTGAGTTTAAAAGCATCATATTCAATATTGAAAAACAAGAAACATTTCTTCAAGAATTAAAACTTTCACCACTAATCTTTAACCATGTTGGAAGTCCTAGACAAAACAATCAGATAAGGAAAGACAAAATGATTCCAAATTGAAAAGGAAATAAAATACACTTTTCACAGAGAAACACATACGTTGAAAATCCAAGCATCTACAAAAAAAAAAAAAAAAAGAAGAAGAAAAAATGAAGTGGCTAAACAAAGTCAATACACAGAAATCAGTTGCCTTTCTATAAGCAAACAATGAGTGCAAAGGAAGATTTAAACAATCCTTTTTACAATTGTACCAAAAAGAATGAAATATCTGGGAGTGGATTTAAAGGAATGAATCGCCTAGAGAAGTAAAAGATGGTACAAAGAAATGGGAAATATCACATGTTCATGGATTGAAAGAATAAACAAAATGGTCATATTTCCTAAAGTAATGTATACATTTAATGAAATACCTATCAAAATCCCAATGACTTTTTTCAAGGGAATAGAACAAGCAATTAAAAAATGTGTATGGTACCACAAATGACCCAATCTTATATATATATATTTACATCATTTTGTACATTTTTTTTTTAGATTTATTTATTTTTTCATACAGAACTGGGTTACAGGCCAGAGATGCGGAGAGTGAGAGGATTCACCAGAGATAGAGTGGGGAGCAGAACAGGCAGACTGACGAAGTACACTGCTGAGGGGAGCAGCGGGCGGGTCAGGAGAGGTCTGCCGCGCTTTGTGGATCTCCTCTGGGGCAGGCGGGGATTGAACTCATGAGGAAGTGGTTTAAGCTTCTTAGTGCTGTGCTGCGGGGGAGGTCCCATGTTGTACATTTTTTAATCTCAGTTGTAATCTCTGTGAACTTCCACCACCAGTTCACCCGTGTGCCATCACCATAATTCTGTGTGCTCTTCCTGTTCCAGTTTTGATCTTGTTCCTCTCCACCCCCATTGAATGTCTTTTATAGTTGTTGACTTTTGTTTTTACTATATTACAATTGCTATCTTTTTTTTCTGATCCCTTAAACTCGTGCTATAAGTAAAACCATCTGTTATTTTTCTCTTTTTTTCTGGGTTATTTAACACAACGTAATCCAGCTCCATCCATGTTTCCACAAATGGCATGGGTTTATCTTTTTTGATTGCTTAGTAATATTCCATTTTGTATATGTACCATATCTTCTTGATCCAGTCATCTATTTTTAGGCATTTTGGGTTGATTCCACATCTTCCTGATTGCAAGTAGTGCTGCAAAAAAACAACAAAGGGTGCAGATGTCTTCTGAATGTTTTTGTGTCTTTTGGCTAGATCCCTAGGAGTGGAATTTCTGGATCATATGGAAGCTCTGTTTGA